ACACCCCGAAAGACACACACAAAAACCCCGAAAACACACACACCAAAAAGACACAAAACACACACCCCGAGAGACACACAGACCCCGAGAACAACACACAAAACCCCGAAGACACAAACAAAAGACCCACGAAAAAAACAAACACACCCCCCCGAAACACACACACAAAAAAACAGAGAACACAACAGACCCCGAGAGACACACAAAAAACCCCAAACACACACAGACCCCGAAGAACACACAACCCCAGAACGAAAAAAAAAACACACACAAAAAAAAACACACAGACCCCGAAGACACACACAACCCCGAGAAACACACAAACACACCCAAAAAAAAACACAACCACACACCCCAAAACAACAAACCCAACACACACACACACCCCCGAAAGACACACACACACCCGAGAACCCGAGACAACACACAGACCCCGAAAAAAACAAAACCCCCCCCACACCACACACAAACCAAAAAACACACAAACACCCACCAGAGACACACACACACACCCGAGAGACACACACAAACACCCCGAGAGACACACACAGACCCCGAGAGAAACACACAGACCCCCCCCCCCAACAAAGACCCCCAGAGACACACACAGACCCCGACACCACCCCACAGAAAATCCAAAGACACACAGACCCCCAGAGACACACAGACCCCCCAGAGACACACACAAAAGACACCGACAACACACAGAGACACACCCCCCCGAGAGACACACACACACCCCGAGAGACACACACACACACCCAAAAGACAACACACACACCCCGAAAAACACACACAAACCCCGAGAGACACACACACACACCCCGAGAGACACACACACAAAAAGAGACACAAACAGACCCCGAGAAACACACACACAAAACCGAAACACACACACACCCCGAACAAACACACACACACACACCCCGAGAGACACACACAAAACACCCCGAGAGACACACAACAACCCCGAAGAAAAAAGCACAACAACCCCGAGAGACACACACAACCCCGAAAGACACACACACACAAAAAAAAAAGAGACACACACAACCCCCGAAGACACACACAGACCCCGAGAGACACACACAAACCCCGAGAGACACACACACACCCCGAGAACACACACACACAAGACCCCGAAAAGACACACACAACCCCGAAACACACACAGACCCCGAGAGAAACACACACCCCGAGACACACACCCCCGAGAGACACACACAGACACCCCCCAAAGAGACACACACAAAAAAACAAACCCCGAGAGACACACACAGACCCCCCGAGAACACAAAAAACCCCGAGAACACACACACAGACCCCGAAGACACACACAGACCCCAGAGACACACACAACCCCGAGAGACACACACACACCCCGAGACACACACACACACCCCCGAGAGACACACACACAGACCCCCCGAGAGACACACACAGACCCCGAGAGACACACACAGACCCCGAGAGACACACACACACACAACCCGAAGACACACACAGACAGACCCGAGACACACACACAGACCCTGAGAGACACACACAGACCCCGAGAGAACACACACCCCCCCCGAGAGACACACACCCCGAGAGACACACACCCCGAGAGACACACACAACCCCCAGACACACACAGACCCCGAGAACACACAACCCCGAGAGACACACACAGACCCCGAGAGAGACACACACAGACCCCGAGAGACACACACAGACCCCGAGAGAGACACACACACACACCCCGAGAGACACACACACACCACACACAGACCCCCGAGAGAACACACAACACCCCGAGAGACACACACCAGACCCCGAAGACACACACAGACCCCGAGAGACACACACAGACCCCGAGAGACACACACACACCCCGAAGAGACACACACAGACCCCGAAAGACACACACAGACCCCGAGAGACACACACAGACCCCGAGAGACACACACAGACCCCGAGACACACACAGACCCCGAGACACACACACCCCGAGAGACACACACCCCCGAGAGACACACACAGACCCCGAGACACACACAGACCCCGAGAGACACACACAGACCCCGAGAGACACACACCCCGAGAGACACACACAGACCCCGAGAGACACACAGACCCCGAGAGACACACAGACCCCGAGAGACACACACAGACCCCGAGAGACACACACACAGACCCCGAGAGACACACACAGACCCCCGAGAGACACACACAGACCCCGAGAGACACACACACACCCCGAGAGACACACACAGACCCCGAGAGAGACACACACAGACCCCGAAAGACACACACACAGACCCGAGAGACACACACAGACCCCGAGAGACACACACAGACCCCGAAAGACACACACAGACCCCGAGAGACACACACAGACCCCGAGACACACACAGACCCCGAGACACACACACCCCGAGAGACACACACAGACCCCGAGAGACACACACACAGACCCTGAGAGACACACACAGACCCCGAGAGACACACACAGACCCTGAGAGACACACACAGACCCCGAGAGACACACACACAGACCCCGAGAGACACACACACAGACCCCGAGAGACACACACAGACCCCGAGACACACACAGACCCCGAGAGACACACACAGACCCCGAGACACACACAGACCCGAGAGACACACACAGACCCCGAGACACACACAGACCCCGAGAGACACACGCAGACCCCGAGAGACACACACAGACCCCGAGAGACACACACAGACCCCGAGAGACACATTCCATACAGTCCCCGATAAACGTTTCCTTTACAAACTGAGGTCTGTAGGCCGGGACCGGTGTGTGTACCTGGAGAAGACTGGTTACAGAAGTGCCACCAAAGAGTGGTGATATAAGGGGAGGGAGGAGCTCAGTGATGGGGGAGGGAGGAGCTCAGTGATGGGGGAGGGAGGAGCTCAGTGATGGGGGAGGGAGGAGCTCAGTGATGGGGGGATGGAGGAGCTCAGTGATGGGGGGATGGAGGAGCTCAGTGATGGGGGAGGGAGGAGCTCAGTGATGGGGGAGGGAGGAGCTCAGTGATGGGGGGATGGAGGAGGTCAGTGATGGGGGGATGGAGGAGCTCAGTGATGGGGGGATGGAGGAGCTCAGTGATGGGGGAGGGAGGAGCTCAGTGATGGGGGGATGGAGGAGCTCAGTGATGGGGGAGGGAGGAGCTCAGTGATGGGGGGATGGAGGAGCTCAGTGATGGGGGGATGGAGGAGCTCAGTGATGGGGGAGGGAGGAGCTCAGTGATGGGGGAGGGAGGAGCTCAGTGATGGGGGGGGGATGGAGGAGCTCAGTGATGGGGGGATGGAGGAGCTCAGTGATGGGGGGATGGAGGAGCTCAGTGATGGGGGAGGGAGGAGCTCAGTGATGGGGGAGGGAGGAGCTCAGTGATGGGGGATGGAGGAGCTCAGTGATGGGGGGATGGAGGAGCTCAGTGATGGGGGAGGGAGGAGCTCAGTGATGGGGGGATGGAGGAGCTCAGTGATGGGGGGATGGAGGAGCTCAGTGATGGGGGAGGGAGGAGCTCAGTGATGGGGGAGGGAGGAGCTCAGTGATGGGGGGATGGAGGAGCTCAGTGATGGGGGAGGGAGGAGCTCAGTGATGGGGGGATGGAGGAGCTCAGTGATGGGGGAGGGAGGAGCTCAGTGATGGGGTAGGGAGGAGCTCAGTGATGGGGGGATGGAGGAGCTCAGTGATGGGGGAGGGAGGAGCTCAGTGATGGGGGGATGGAGGAACACAGCGATGGGGGGATGGAGGAGCTCAGCGATGGGGAAGGGAGGAGCTCAGCGATGGGGGGATGGAGGAGCTCAGCGATGGGGGGATGGAGGAGCTCAGCGATGGGGGAGGGAGGAGCTCAGCGATGGGGGAGGGAGGAGCTCAGCGATGGGGGGATGGAGGAGCTCAGCGATGGGGGGGGAGGGAGGAGCTCAGCGATGAGGGGATGGAGGAGCTCAGCGATGGGGGGATGGAGGAGCTCAGCGATGGGGGGATGGAGGACCTCAGCGATGGGGGAGGGAGGAGCTCAGTGATGGGGGATGGCGAGCTCTATGGCCGTACTCTCCGCCCTCCAGTGCTCTATGGCCGTACTCTCCGCCCTCCAGTGCTCTATGGCCGTACTCTCCGCCCTCCAGTGCTCTATGGCCGTACTCTCCGCCCTCCAGTGCTCTATGGCCGTACTCTCCGCCCTCCAGTGCTCTATGGCCGTACTCTCCGCCCTCCAGTGCTCTATGGCCGTACTCTCCCCCTCCAGTGCTCTATGGCCGTACTCTCCGCCCTCCAGTGCTCTATGGCCGTACTCTCCGCCCTCCAGTGCTCTATGGCCGTACTCTCCGCCCTCCAGTGCTCTATGGCCGTACTCTCCGCCCTCCAGTGCTCTATGGCCGTACTCTCCGCCCTCCAGTGCTCTATGGCCGTACTCTCCGCCCTCCAGTGCTCTATGGCCGTACTCTCCGCCCCCTCCAGTGCTCTATGGCCGTACTCTCCGCCCTCCAGTGCTCTATGGCCGTACTCTCCGCCCTCCAGTGCTCTATGGCCGTACTCTCCGCCCTCCAGTGCTCTATGGCCGTACTCTCCGCCCTCCAGTGCTCTATGGCCGTACTCTCCGCCCTCCAGTGCTCTATGGCCGTACTCTCCGCCCTCCAGTGCTCTATGGCCGTACTCTCCGCCCTCCAGTGCTCTATGGCCGTACTCTGCGCCCTCCAGTGCTCTATGGCCGTACTCTGCGCCCTCCAGTGCTCTATGGCCGTACTCTCCACCTTTCAGTGCTCTATGGCTGTACTCTCCACCCTTCAGTGCTCTATGGCCGTACTCTCCGACCTTCAGTGCTCTATGGCCGTACTCTCCGACCTTCAGTGCTCTATGGCCGTACTCTCCGACCTTCAGTGCTCTATGGCCATACTCTCCACCCTCCAGTGCTCTATGGAGTGGCCGTACTCTCAGACTATACCTCACAGCACACAATCCATCACTGGGGAGGGTCACTTACCAGAACAGCGAAGAGAATTGGGGATCGAATGATCCACCAGTAGGAGCGGTTGTCATTTCTCTCCCAACACCTGGAAGACAGAAGGCGTGGCCATCACACAACGTCGTAAATGGCTTCATCCTCGCCTACTGCCATTTCCAATCAGAGAAACGTGAATGTCAGAGGCTAGTGACAACCCTGAAGACAAGTCTCATCTGCAGGAAATGGTGTCACACGCTGGGCTCAGACACAACCATTGTGGTACTGACATATGTTATACTCACTGTGTGTTCTCATACAGCTGCCGCACAACCACCCATGGGACGACAAACAGCACAGGGGCCCCTGGAAGACACAGACATATGGCAGAAAAGGGTGGCCATGTACAGGGGTCCAATCACCAGTGACATCATGGACTTACCCCAGCCCAGCGCCATGTATCGGGGCAGCGCTGCCTCTTCAGAGAACGACAAGACAACCAGCAGGTTGTGGAGGTAGAGGCCCTCCACCAGAAGCCAGTAGTAATAATGGCGGCCACACAATACTGTGTGATGGTCTGAGCAACACGACACCCAACCAGAGTCTGCAGAGACAGGAGACACCGAGAGGACCCAACATGACCAACCCATCCAGAACAAAGGGTGACCTCATCAACACCTGTACAGGTAAGGGGAGGAGCCTGATAGAACCTCTCCCCTCCATACAGGTAAGGGGAGGAGCCTGACAGAACCTCTCCCCTCCATACAGGTAAGGGGAGGAGCCTGACAGAACCTCTTCCCTCCATAACAGGTAAGGGGAGGAGCCTGATAGAACCTCTCCCCTCCATACAGGTAAGGGGAGGAGCCTGACAGAACCTCTCCCCTCCATACAGGTAAGAGGAGGAGCCTGACAGAACTTCTCCCCTCCATACAGGTAAGAGGAGGAGCCTGACAGAACCTCTCCCCTCCATACAGGTAAGGGGAGGAGCCTGACAGAACCTCTCCCCTCCATACAGGTAAGAGGGGGAGCCTGACAGAACTTCTCCCCTCCATACAGGTAAGAGGAGGAGCCTGACAGAACCTCTCCCCTCCATACAGGTAAGGGGAGGAGCCTGACAGAACCTCTCCGCTCCATACAGGTAAGGGGAGGAGCCTGACAGAACCTCTCCCCTCCATACAGGTAAGGGGAGGAGCCTGACAGAACCTCTCCCCTCCATACAGGTAAGGGGAGGAGCCTGACAGAATCTCTCCTCTGCATACAGGTAAGGGGAGGAGCCTGACAGAACCTCTCCCCTCCTTACAGGCAAGAGGAGGAGCCTGACAGAACTTCTCCCCTCCATACAGATAAGGGGAGGGGCCGTACAGCACCTCTCCTCTGCATACAGGTAAGGGGAGGAGCCTGACAGAACCTCTCCTCTGCATACAGGTAAGGGGAGGAGCCTGACAGAACCTCTCCCCTCCATACAGGCAAGAGGAGGAGCCTGACAGAACTTCTCCCCTCCATACAGATAAGGGGAGGGGCCGTACAGCACCTCTCCTCTGCATACAGGTAAGGGGAGGAGCCTGACAGAACCTCTCCTCTGCATACAGGTAAGGGGAGGAGCCTGACAGAACCTCTCCCCTCCATACAGGCAAGAGGAGGAGCCTGACAGAACTTCTCCCCTCCATACAGATAAGGGGAGGGGCCGTACAGCACCTCTCCTCTGCATACAGGTAAGGGGAGGCGCTTAGCAAGACCAAATTTTGATACAGATCAGAGGAGGAGCCTGACCAGACTTCATCCCCACACAGGAAAGGGGAGGAGCCTGTAAGACTCCACCCCCTATAAAGGTAAGAGGAGGATACAGATATTCGAGCCCATGGTCTCACCTTCTCTCTCAGCAGAGCAGTCATGTCCTCCTGGCCCTGAATCATGTTGTGTTGGTGCATGAGCAGAGCGTCCCGGGACAGCAGAGACACGGCGCGCAGGATGAAAGACACAAACAGGTTACAGTGGATGAGATTCCGCGTACAGCGCAGGCGCCTGCAACACAAAACACACCATAAATCCACCAATCAGACGCTTACTGCTCTGAATGACTTCACTCTCTGCATAGATTAGGCCCCAAAATGTGCACAAGGCTGAGAGTTTAGACAGAGGCCTCGGGATCCTTTACCATAGTCCCTCCCCTGAGGACTCTGTGCTGATGATTAGTGTACAACATACAAAGTCTGTGGGATCGGTGAGCATAGTCCCTCCCCTGAGGACTCCGTACTGACCATTAGCGTACAACATACAAAGTCTGTGGGATCAGTGAGCCTAGTCCCTCCCCTGAGGACTCCGTACTGACCATTAGCGTACAACAGACAAAGGCTGTGGGATCGGTGAGCATAGTCCCTCCCCTGAGGACTCCGTACTGACCATTAGCGTATAACAGACAAAGGCTGTGGGATCGGTGAGCATAGTCCCTCCCCTGAGGACTCCGTACTGACCATTGGCGTACAACAGACAAAGGCTGTGGGATCGGTGAGCATAGTCCCTCCCCTGAGGACTCCGTACTGACCATTAGCGTACAACAGACAAAGGCTGTGGGATCGGTGAGCATAGTCCCTCCCCTGAGGACTCCGTACTGACCATTAGCGTACAACAGACAAAGTCTGTGGGATCGGTGAGCATAGTCCCTCCCCTGAGGACTCCGTACTGACCATTAGCGTACAACAGACAAAAGCTGTGGGATCGGTGAGCATAGTCCCTCCCCTGAGGACTCCGTACTGACCATTAGCGTACAACAGACAAAAGCTGTGGGATCGGTGAGCATAGTCCCTCCCCTGAGGACTCCATACTGACCATTAGTGTACAACATACAAAGTCTGTGGGATCGGTGAGCATAGGCCCTCCCCTGAGGATTTGTTTTGCTAGTTTACAACACAAAGAGAGGCTGCAGGATCCATGAGTATAGTCCCTCCCCCGAGGACTCTGTGCTGATTGCCAGTATATAACTGTCTTGGAAATTCGCTTTAACGAATTTCTCCTTACCGTGAGTACTCGCAGTTGGATGCGCAGAAATCCCCCATAAAGCTGTGCGAATCTCGCTTACCACGACTGCAGCTAAATTACACGATTCCTGCCCATCCAAATACTTTGGTTCTGTTGAAATGTGGGGGTGGAGCTCCGTTACCCTAGAATGATCACACGACACTCAGGATCCTGTTGCAACTCACATAAGGCCTGATTTTAGACCCAGCTCTCTGTTTTATTAAAAATACACACATGCCCCCCCACATGAATAAAGTCAATCCCCTCCCACCGAACAATGCAATGGGGATTGCCTATACAGAGGATATACATTCCAATTGGAGCATAGCCTTTACTATTATCTATCACTGGTCCTCCCCCATGAATCTTCTGAGGTCAGCAGACTTCCTCCCCTTCCCCCCTATGAGCCATCTGAGGTCATATTTCCTGTCCTACTATCTTATATTGGTATGTAAAATTCTCTGCACAAGCACTCCCTAAAAATATCAGTCTGTACCTGGATGGGCCCGATACGATCTTTATTAAAACACATCCATCCCAGATACAGTTCAGATTAGTAATGGGTTGTAAGATATGCATAAGCCTACACGTGGAGTTCACACCGCTTGGCGCCTTGCGTTATGAAGCCCACGTGGTACCATGCTGCTGATATGTGGATACAGGCCCACGGTCTACTGACAGCAGCATTCGCATGGAATGCCGTGGTGGTATACACGCCGGTCTATAAGCGCAGATCTGCCATCTCATCCATTACCAAGCCGAGTACTGTAATACATACATTGTACATGGCATGGCCCAATTGCAGCCTTCAGAGCTTTAATTAAGCCACACGAGAGACATATGAATAACACGAATACATGACACATTTAAAGTTCGACCAACAATACAAAATTTCCATGACAATAACACAGATGTAAAGCAACCCTTCTAATGATGGCAATCCCCCTCAGGATACACCCGGCTCTGGTTACCTATTAATGTTTTGCTTGAACAGGACAAGTTTCAATTGGTGGAACTTTTTAATCATGAAGCCATTTGGTTTCATTCCCAGTGCAGCTCACAGGATCCTCAGAGAGAGGTGAACAGAGATGGAGGTGGAAAACGTACCTGAGCTGTGTCAGTATACAGAGGGCCACAGTCAGAGCAGCCAGGGAAATGCCGTATCCCACACTGTACATCACCCGCAACTGGGACAGAATCCACGCCTCCCACTGCCGGGACACAACAGAGACCAATCCATCAATACCACCACCAGGCCTTTCCATCACAAGTACCAGCAGGCGGGAGGGAGGCCTTACACTTGCATAGCTCTGACATATACCACGGTGCAGTACAGTAATGTCCTGTATGGAGGTGATGGCCTCTTACCTGAGATTGCTCCTCCTCTGGGTTGACATTCTCGCACTGTGAGTGGTCCCTCCAGGGCATGTCTGTCTCATCCCGGACCCACTGACCCTCGGCATCGCACCGCCGGAACACAAGGCCATCTTTTACTGCAGAGAGAGAAGGGGACACAGAGTACGGATGGGGGCAGAGTACGGATGGGGGCAGAGTACGGATGGGGGCAGAGTACGGATGGGGGCAGAGTACGGATGGGGAAGAGTACGGATGGGGAAAGAGTACGGATGGGGAAAGAGTACGGATGGGGAAAGAGTACGGATGGGGGCAGAGTACGGATGGGGACAGAGTACGGATGGGGACAGAGTACGGATAGGCATGGTATGTATGGATGGGGTGTGGATGATCTGCAGTGGTCTGGTCCTCTCACCATGGTCAATCCAGGGCAGATAGAATGGGCAGAGTATGAATGAATGGGGTAAAGATGGCAGGGGTACGGAATGACAGAGTATAGATGGATGGAGTATGGACGGACGGAGTATGGATGAATGGGGTAAAGATGGAAGGGGTATGGAAGGACAGAGTATGGATGATTGGGGTATAGATGGAAGGGGTATGGAAGGACAGAGTATAGATGGAAGGGGTATGGAAGGACAGAGTATAGATGGATGGGGTATGGATGGAAGGGGAATGGAAGGACAGAGCATGGAAGAATGGGGTATAGATGGAAGGGGTATGGAAGGACAGAGTATGGATGGATGGGGTATAAACGGAAGGGGTATGGATGGACAGAGTATTGATGGATGGGGTATGGAAGTACAGAGTATAGATGGATGGGGTATGGAAGGACAGAGAATTGATGGATGGGGTATGGAAGGACAGAGTATAGATGAATGCGGTATGGAAGGACAGAGTATGGATGGAAGGGGTATGGAAGGACAGAGTATAGATGGAAGGGGTATGGAAGGACAGAGTATGGATGGATGGAGTATAGATGGAAGGGGTATGGAAGGACAGAGTATAGATGGATGGAAGGGGTATGGAAGGACAGAGTATAGATGGATGGGGTATAGATGGAAGGGGTATGGAAGGAAGACAGAGTATAGATGGATGGAGTATAGATGGATGGAAGGGGTATGGAAGGACAGAGTATAGATGGAAGGGGTATGAAAGGACAGAGTATAGATGGATGGAGTATGGAAGGACAGAGTATGGATGGAAGGGGTAGGGAAGGACAGAGTATGGATGGAAGGGGTATGGAAGGACAGAGTATGGATGGAAGGGGTATGAAAGGACAGAGTATAGATGGATAGAGTATAGATGGAAGGGGTATGGAAGGACAGAGTATAGATGGACAGAGTATAGATGGATGGGGTATGGAAGGACAGAGTATGGATGGATGGAGTATAGATGGAAGGGGTATAGAAGGACAGAGTATGGATGGAAGGACGGGGTATGGATGGAAGGGGTATGGAAGGACAGAGTATGGATGGAAGGACGGGGTATGGATGGAAGGACGGGGTATGGATGGACAGAGTATAGATGGAAGGACAGAGTACGGATGGAAGGACGGGTATGGATGGACGGAGTATAGATGGAAGGACAGAGTACGGATGGAAGGACGGGGTATGGATGGACGGAGTATAGATGGAAGGATGGGGTATGAATGGAAGGGGTATGGAAGGACAGAGTATAGATGGAAGGGGTATGGAAGGACAGAGTATAGATGGATGGAGTATAGATGGAAGGGGTATGGAAGGACAGAGTATGGATCGGTGGAAGGGGTATGGAAGGACAGAGTATGGATGGAAGGACGGGGTATGGATGGAAGGACGGGGTATGGAAGGACAGAGTATAGATGGAAGGACAGAGTATGGATGGAAGGACAGAGTACGGATGGAAGGACGGGGTATGGATGGACGGACGGGGTATGGATGGAAAGGGTATGGAAGGACAGAGTGTAGATGGAAGGGGTATGGAAGGACAGAGTATAGATGGATGGAGTATAGATGGAAGGGGTATGGAAGGACAGAGTATGGATGGGTGGAAGGGGTATGGAAGGACAGAGTATGGATGGGTGGAAGGGGTATGGAAGGACAGAGTATGGATGGGTGGAAGGGGTATGGATGGAAGTACAGACTATGGATGGGTGGAAGGGGTATGGAAGGACAGAGTATGGATGGACGGAGTATAGATGGAAGGACGGGGTATGGATGGGTGGAAGGGATATGGAAGGACAGAGTATAGATGGATGGCGATGGAGTATAGATGGAAGGAGTATGGAAGGACAGAGTATGGATGGGTGGAAGGGGTATGGAAGAACAGAGTATGGATGGGTGGAAGGGGTATGGATGGAAGTACAGACTATGGATGGGTGGAAGGGGTATGGAAGGACAGAGTATGGATGGACGGAGTATAGATGGAAGGACGGGATATGGATGGGTGGAAGGGATATGGAAGGACAGAGTATGGATGGAAGGACAGAGTATGGATGGAAGGACGGGGTATGGATGGAAGGACGGGGTATGGATGGAAGGACGGGGTATGGAAGTACAGACTATGGATGGATGGAAGGGGCATGGAAGGACAGAGTATGGATGGGTGGAAGGGGTATGGAAGGACAGAGTATGGATGGATGGAAGGACAGAGTATAGATGGAAGGGGTATGGAAGGACAGAGTATAGATGGAAGGATGGGGTATGGATGGAAGGGGTATGGAAGGACAGAGTATGGATGGATGGAGAAAAGATGGAAGGGATGGAAGGACAGAGTATAGATGGATGGAAGGGGTATGGAAGGACAGAGTATAGATGGATGGGGTATAGATGGAAGGGGTATGGAAGGACAGAGTATAGATGGATGGGGTATGAAAGGACAGAGTATAGATGGATGGAGTATGGAAGGACAGAGTATAGATGGACAGAGTATAGATGGATGGGGTATGGAAGGACAGAGTATAGATGGAAGGGGTATGGAAGGACAGAGTATGGATGGAAGGGGTATGGAAGGACAGAGTATGGATGGAAGGGGTATGGAAGGACAGAGTATGGATGGAAGGGGTATGGAAGGACAGAGTATAGATGGAAGGGGTATGGAAGGACAGAGTATAGATGGATGGGGTATAGATGGAAGGGGTATGGAAGGACAGAGTATAGATGGAAGGGGTATGGAAGGACAGAGTATGGATGGAAGGGGTATGGAAGGACAGAGTATAGATGGAAGGGGTATGAAAGGACAGAGTATAGATGGATGGAGTATGGAAGGACAGAGTATAGATGGACAGAGTATAGATGGATGGGGGTATAGATGGAAGAGGTATGGAAGGACAAAGTATAGATGGAAGGGGTATGGAAGGACAGAGTATGGATGGATGGAGTATAAATGGAAGGACGGGTATGGATGGAAGGGGGTATGGAAGGACAGAGTATGGATGGATGGAGTATAGATGGAAGGGGTATAGAAGGACAGAGTATGGATGGATGGAGTATGGATGGAAGGACGGGGTATGGATGGAAGGGGTATGGAAGGACAGAGTATAGATGGAAGGACAGAGTATGGATGGAAGGACGGGGTATGGATGGAAGGGGTATGGATGGACGGAGTATAGATGGAAGGACAGAGTACGGATGGAAGGACGGGGTATGGATGGACGGAGTATAGATGGAAGGACGGGGTATGAATGGAAGGGGTATAGATGGATGGAGTATAGATGGAAGGGGTATGGAAGGACAGAGTATGGATCGGTGGAAGGGGTATGGAAGGACAGAGTATAGATGGAAGGACAGAGTATGGATGGAAGGACGGGGTATGGATGGAAGGACGGGGTATGGATGGAAGGACGGGGTATGGATGGAAGGACGGGGTATGGATGGAAGGACGGGGTATGGATGGAAGGACGGGGTATGGATGGAAGGACGGGGTATGGATGGAAGGGATATGGAAGGACAGAGTATGGATGGAAGGACGGGGTATGGATGGAAGGACGGGGTATGGATGGACGGAGTATAGATGGAAGGACAGAGTACAGATGGAAGGACGGGGTATGGATGGACGGAGTATAGATGGAAGGACGGGGTATGGATGGAAAGGGTATGGAAGGACAGAGTATAGATGTATGGAGTATAGATGGAAGGGGTATGGAAGGACAGAGTATGGATGGGTGGAAGGGGTATGGAAGGACAGAGTATGGATGGACGGAGTATAGATGGAAGGACGGGGTATGGATGGGTGGAAGGGATATGGAAGGATAGAGTATGGATGGAAGGACAGAGTATGGATGGAAGGACAGAGTATGGATGGAAGGACAGAGTATGGATGGAAGGACGGGGTATGGAAGGACAGAGTATGGATGGATGGAAGGGGTATGGATGGAAGGGGTATGGATGGAAGGGGTATGGATGGAAGGGGTATGGAAGGACAGAGTATAGATGGAAGGGGTATGGAAGGACAGAGTATAGATGGAAGGGGTATGGAAGGACAGAGTATAGATGGACAGAATATAGATGGATGGAGTATAGATGGAAGGACGGGGTATGGATGGAAGGGGTATGGAAGGACGGGGTATGAAAGGACAGAGTATGGATGGACGGAGTATAGATGGAAGGACGGGGTATGGATGGACGGAGTATAGATGGAAGGACGGGGTATGGATGGAAAGGGTATGGAAGGACAGAGTATGGGTGGAAGGGGTATGGAAGGACAGAGTATGGATGGGTGGAAGGGGTATGGAAGGACAGAGTATGGATGGACGGAGTATAGATGGAAGGACGGGATATGGATGGGTGGAAGGGATATGGAAGGACAGAGTATGGATGGAAGGACAGAGTATGGATGGAAGGACAGAGTATGGATGGAAGGACAGAGTATGGATGGAAGGACGGGGTATGGATGGAAGGACGGGGTATGGAAGTACAGACTATGGATGGATGGAAGGGGCATGGAAGGACAGAGTATGGATGGGTGGAAGGGGTATGGAAGGACAGAGTATGGATGGATGGAAGCACAGAGTATAGATGGAAGGGGTATGGAAGGACAGAGTATGGATGGATGGAGTATAGATGGAAGGATGGGGTATGGATGGAAGGGGTATGGAAGGACAGAGTATGGATGGATGGAGAAAAGATGGAAGGGGTATGGAAGGACAGAGTATAGATGG